ACACACACACACACACACACACACACACACACACACACCCGGGCGCACGTGCGTTTAAAGAAAGCATAGGGGACGCGCGCATACACACACTCTATAAGCAGATCATTGCAGCTGATTTTTTAGTCGTAAACGCAGAAGATGTTTGCTTGCTTGATAAGAATAGTCAGCAGTTGGGGCTACGTGACCGAGCCGGGGTCGCGGGATGGCAAGAGTTCATCGGGTGAGTCAACGTGAAATGACAGGTGCGATAATGCTATCATGAACGATGGCTGGATTTATTAGTTCACACGAACTCAACTCGTAAGAAATTTGGCGAGTGATATAGAGCCTTCATATAGTATGAGAGATCGCAGTAACGCCATTTAAGGAAGGGGTTATTCAGAGAGAGAGAGAGAAAGAGAGAGAGAGAGAGAGAGAGAACGAAAGAGAAAGAGAGGGCGATGGAACGGGAATATATGTACTGATGCTATAATATATACTGTTGCTGCTGCTGCTACTGCTACTGTTGCTACTGCTGCTGCTGCTCCTGCTGTTACTGCTGCTGCTGCTGCTGCTGTTTTTGTTTGTTTTTGTTTTAATGGGGCGATTGAAAGTATTTATGAACTAAATTTGAATTACATAACAATTCCGCATTAACTTCACATCGGCACCGATCAAATCTTACGACCGAACATTCAACTTTGTCTAGCGCCGAGGTCTATCATCGCAAAAGTCACCTGGCATAATATATACAGTCATACCTCCCGGTCCCGTTTAAACACTCGGCATAATAATATCAAGGCGTATTAAGTATGACATAGCGTATTACATACGTAGCGTAGCGTATTACATAGAGTAGCGTACAAGCGTATTACATACTTTTTATTTTTATTTTTATTTTTTTTATTTTATTACATCACATCACATTACATTACATTGTAATACAGTACCTTACATTATATTACCGAGTCGTCCTACATTGCGTTACGTTGTGTTGCGTTGCATTAGGCCCCATAAAAAAAGATGTTAGTTTATCATCCCCGCCCGCATCACTTTTTCCGCCCGCATCAAATTTTTTTTTATTTTTTAATTCAGATTACCGGTGTTGTATTCACACAAACGGTACCTGAGACTAAAATTATTCCCATGAAGTTTCTCTAGGCCTAGTCCATCATACTGTGCTGTGGTCTAGCCTACTTGTCTTGATTGTTTTTGTGCCCACGGGGCCCACTTGTACTCTTTCTTTACTATTCTATTGTTAATTCCATGTTTGTGTTTGTGTTCGGGAA